ATATATATATATTTTTTTATTTTTATTTTTATTTTTTTTATAAAATGTAATAAATTATAGGTACTGTATTTATTATAATTCTTTTATGAAAAGTTTCCAAGTGATGTTCTAATATTTATTTTGTCCAGCTATAGCATTTAAAGAAATTTAATACATGACTGTACTCGGAAAAATGTACTGGTAAAACCAAGTAAGACACATTTTATATAAAAATAATTTTAAAAAAGCTTTGCATCTCCCCGTCAGGGAATCGAACCCCGGTCTCTGGCCCTCGTGTGACAGGCGGGGATACTTACCATACTAACAAGGAGTGGCTTAGTGGTCACATGGTCCAGGCAGTGCAAGAACCATACTAAAGCTAAGACTAGGCCTTTGTGTTGAAACTTGCTAAATAAGCATGAAAGTTTGTGAATGTGCCAAATGCTAGAAAGTGGAAAAGTTAGTTCTTACCTCTCGTAGATCAGAGGAATAAGGGCCTGGATCCCAGCTCACTAAAATCCCAGCACTGTACAAAGAACTGGAGAGGAAATGGTGATCTTCAGATGCCATTACCTATGTAATAAACAGACATTATGTTTTTTAGGACCTTGTTACTGCATGTTATTTTATCTTTTCACCAGTTATCAAACAAACTACCTGGGAATTGATCAGACGCACTGTTGTTTTAGAGCCCACATCTTTCTCAAAGCCTGTTGTTGGTGCAGCATTGAACCGCATCACTGCATCATGTGAATCTAGAATTCAAGATTTTTTTTTTAGTAATAGATATTATTGATAGTAGTGAAAATAACCATTATATCAACAAAAATCGATAACAGATATGTTTTCAGATGGGGATATGACAAAAGTCTTTTAACTGTTTTTTTTTCTGGAAATTTAAAGGGATACTCCACCCCAAAATGAAAATTTTTACATTAATTCACTTACCCCCATGTCGTTCCAAACCCCTAAAAGCTTTGTTCGTCTTCGGAACACAATTTAAGATATTTTGGATGAAAACCGGGAGGCTTGTGACTCTCCGATTGACTGCTGTGACGAGAGGGGCGGGGCCGAGAGCCGTGGGAACGGAGCGAGGCCGGTGGAGTACATGCAAATGCGTGACACC